ACAGAGTTTTTTTTTAAAACGCGGTGGTGTGGATGCAAGTTTTTGGAGGGGCGGATATTCGTTTTTTAAAAACCCGGCTACGTGTGGACTAGGCCTCAGAAGGGTGACTGACCTCCTGAAAACAGCAGCAGCGTTCTGGAGTGAGGGCTGCAGATAAAGATGATTACGCCAGTCCAGACAGGGACTGAGGCGATAGGCAGGTTCCATGGTCAGGCAGAGGTCGGGCAATAGCCGGGCAGACAAGTTTAAACACTCAACAGACTGTGACAAGGCAGCAGACGATCTCGCACCGAGCAGCAGGAGCCAGGTGCTTGAATAGGGAGCAGCACAGGTGGAATTAATCAGCCTAGATTACTGCTGCTGCAGGGAGACGGGAAAACACAGACATCAGAGCATGATCATGACAGAAATCTCCGTTTTACCGCGAGCGTCGGAAAGCGATGCTCTGGCACAGCGCATCGTTGGGAGCCCCAACGCATCGGAAACAAACACTTTGTCACCCTTCGTCAGTTTCAGCCGCTTCGGTTGTGAAAATGTGTTGCCTCCCAACGAGGCACGACGTGTTGCTTTTTGAGATCTTTTAGCCTGCTTCCTGTTTTCAGACAGGTTCTGTTGTACAGATTTCATACTTCTACTTTAAATCAGAGATGTGATAAATAAAGAAGTGATAACGTTTTAAATAAAAACAATAAGCCACCTAAACTCTCAGGAATGATCTTTAACATGGCGCCAGTAAAAAAAAAAAACACAGAAAGAAAAAAATCCGTCACTGAAATCTGAAGAATGAAATGTCAAAGCTGTAGAGACGGGACGTTGTTACCGACCTTGTGTTTGGACAGTTCTTAAGTATATCAAGAGCAGTGGCGTGTCTAGATATTTTAAAATGGGGTGGCCCAGGTGAGGCACAACTTTGTGCATGGGTGGCACCAATGGTTATGCTTTTTTTGTTTTACCCCCAAGGGTTTTGTAGACAATGAAAAGCTTATTTAAAGGTAAATTAGTGTGGTGACACCTGGGGGTGGCCAATCAGATTCCAAGGGTGGCATGTGCTGCCCCAGGCCACCCCCTGGACACGCCCCTGATCAAGAGCATGAGAGATGGTACGCATCGCAGGAGGCTTTCCGTTGACGTTTGGTCTTCAGTGTGAAAAGCGTGCAACATGTGCAGCGCTAACGAGGAGCAGCTTGCTCAAAGGTGTGTGCACCGCACAGAGAAGGGCGTTTAAAGCACAGAAACTTAAAAACAGACAACAATTGTGCTTTTCCGATGAGGCAGATGGAGGAAGACCACCTCAGTTCAAGTAGATGTAAAGCAGGCATCTTTTCTGTGAAACATCTGTGTGAGAGAATACACACGACATCTGTCATGAGGTTTTGTAAAAAGACATGCTTCGTCTCAGTTTTGCTCCTGCCTTTCTTCTTCTCCACCTACAGGACAAGCCAATTGATTCTTCACGTTCTGATGAAAACCCGTGTCGCTCCAGTGGGCCCATCCTGACACTTCAATTGGAGAGGCATAAATCTGGCTCCGTTGTGAAGGAGAGGGGTAATTATTTCCTCCTGTCAGAGCCTCCACTCATCCCCTCTTTCCTCCTTCATTTTCTTCTCCGGCTAGACGCTTGTATTAAAGTCCTGGCTCTCACTTGCACATTCTTTTTGTTTCTTTATTCTTGATTTATCCACAAATAAACCAGATTTTCACCCTACAGGTTCACGTGCAAATACCTGTGACACACTCTCACATTTAGGGAAGACAAAATGCGAGCAAAGCTTTTAATGAGATTTTGATGGCACACATAATAAAAACAGGGCTGCTGCATTTATTTATCCTGCCAAGTCTTTCCCAGGTCTGCGCTCAAGCTGAAGCTACAAAATGTGTGTGTGGCAGCTTGACTGTCTCATGCTGAGAAAGATTTCCTCAAGAAGAGTCATCACTTGAACGTTTGAAACCACAAAAGATGAAAAATGCCTTTCTGAAATGTGATAATCTATCCTAACCTAAAAAGTGAACCCATGTGGGGAGAAACGAAGCAGTACACTGATTTAAGACAGAAGGCATGGACCATCCTCCAGAAAAAAGCCTCTCACTTCATTCTTATCGTTTCAGAGATGCCTTTTGTAAGATTTCACTTTTTATTTACATTAAAAAATATGCATCCATCCCATTAATTTCTAGAAAAGCTTATCCTGTTGTTGCAATGTTGTGAAAGCAGAATCTGTGAGCTTGCCATGTAAACAAAAGGGATGAATGTTGCCTGAAACAGCTCAACACACAACCTGCCAAGAGTGTTTCAAAAGTCAGACTCGCGAGAGGAGAGTTGTGCGCTTGTAAGACAACAACTGAGCATGCGCAGAAACGTATTTGAGAAGTTGTATTTACTGGGTCGCAGAAGAAAATTTTACATATAAGTTTATTTTGTTTCACATACAATTTACTTTTTCTTACAAGTACCATTTATCTTCACACATTCACACATGTTGATGTGCAGCTTCTCACGTTTTAATGCACAGACACTCACCTCAAAACTTCACGCTCACATTTTACGGTACACACACTCACATCCAATCTTCAAGCCCACACTGTGTTGTACGGACTCAGACAACACATTTACAAGCTTGTGCATTTTGACACATATTAATGTGTGAGAGGGAAGCTGTGCAATTGTAATAAAAAAGTTGAGCGTGTGCAGAAACAGATCTGTACACTTGTGTTTACAGACTTGTAGCTGAAAATGTCACACACAACTGTATTTTATCTCACATGCATGTGAGTGTTTCTTACAGGTGCACATTTAGCTTTACAGGTTTACGGGTGTTGGTGTACAGCTCCTCACACTGTACTGCACGCACACACACACACACACACTGTTTTCAAGCACCCATCATGTAGTACAAATACACACAACAGATCTACAAGTTTGTGCTTTTTGAAACAGAATGACCTTCATAAGTGAGACCCATCCAATATGGCGGCAATGCTGTCATGCTATCCAGCTCCTGATGGGGCATTCACGTTTTCATGTCTATGGGGTACATGTAGCTGATACTGCCATAAAGCAACACACAGTCAGTACTTCTGGCCGTGGACTGTTGGTCAAAAACTGTATAGCGTGGTAAACAGACGTGGGAGCCCGTAACACCATCACAGCTCCGAAAACAAATATAAGAGATAATAGTATGCTACCAACACTTTTAAAAAACATTATTTAAGGTGTAAAAGTTGCAGAATGGGGCTTTAACTATTTAGAGCTAATAAGAAAAATGATAAGTTGAACTTGCAGCAGGATAGTTGGAGGAATCTGCAGGAGAACATGTGGAAATAAACGTCTAAGGAGTATTTATATTTTTCGTTCACCTGCGTAAACATGGTGTTAAGTTTCATCTGTATGCAGATGATTGCCAGATCTATGTTCCTGTTTGTCCAGGGGAGAGGGGATCCATTGTTAATCTCCTGGCTTGTCTAAAGGATGTCAAGTCATGGCAGGCATCTAATCACCTTCTCGTGAATGATACTAAGACTGACCTCATTACATTTCTCTCTAGTAAGGTGAGTGTGAGTTCTGCCTCTAATCGAGATGCTCTCTCACCCTACTAGAAGTCAGTTTTCACCAGCCTGGGGGTGAGAGTGGATGCAGAACTCAAACTGGAATTTCACATTAATATGGTTGTAAGAGCCTGCCTTTTAAACCTGGGACAGCTGGCAAAAATCAAGCCCATGTTCTCCCGAGCACATCTGGAGTCAGTGCTCCACGCATTTGTTTTTTCTAGGCTCAACTACTGTAATGCTCTATATGTTGGTTTGAGCCAGGCAGTAGTGAATCGTCTCCAGTTGGTCCAGAACTCGGCAGCCAGGTTTCTGACAGGGATGAGGAAATCAGCACATATTACTCCTGTGCTGGCATAATTACACTGGCTCTCTGTGGTCTTTCGGGCGAAATTTAAGGTCCTCTGCTTTGTCTACCGGTCTCGATGTGGTAGTGCTCCACTATAGTTGGCAGCACTGACACGGCACACCTCTTCACTATCTCTATGCTCGGCTGAGCTGAAGCTACTGGCTGTTCCTCACTCTCGGTATAGATCTAGAGGGGAACGGACTTCCTCGGTCTGCGTGTGTGTGTGTGTGTGTGTGTGTGTGTGTGTGTGTGTGTGTGTGTGTGTGTGTGTGTGTGTGTGTGTGTGTGTGTGTGTGTGTGTGTGTGTGTTTTATGTTCAGTGCCTTGGGCTTCCGCTGAGGAAGTGGAAGGCACTCTATAAATAAAGATTGATTGATTGATTGATTGATTGATTGATTGATTGATTGATTGATTGATTGATTGCAAGGAGGGTGCGGGACAGTCTTGTCAAAAATTTGATCTTTTTCTTGTTCTGTGCGGAAAAACCCAAAGCAATATAGACCAGACGTAAAAACAAATCAACACAGACTCGTAACGTAACTCTGAAACTTGACTCAAAAGTTCAGAATGATATATCTGTTTCCAAACGCATCACACCAGAGTTTTTGTTCTATTAACTGTTAATTTAGTGTCAATTTAGTGTGACAGACGGTTTTGTAGCAGCAATGAGAATCTGAATAGAGGAGGTTGTAGGACTGAGAAAAATAAAATGTAGGTTTTAACAACAATAGACACAAATACTTAATAAATCTAAGGAGCAAAAGAAGCTTTAAATGTCCAATCAAAGCCCTGGACCAGATGAACCTTCAGCAGGTGTGGTGATTACTAAGTTGCCTAAATCAAAACCCAACTACACGAAACTAGAAGAAAAAGTAAAAAGTCCTCAAAGACCTGACCGAGACTGCATCTGACCTTTAGCGCGTCACCGGGAAGTTTGGATCCTTCTCTGATGTTTGGATCTGCTTGCTGTCTGGTTAACAGAAGGGAGGACGAGGGTGGATGGGAGGTGTTAATGGGGAGAAGGAGGAGGAGGAGGAGGTGGGTGGGAGCTTGAGTGAAGGGAGTGTAATTGGACACCATCTCTCTCTTTTTCTATGTGTGTCTCTTCATTCTCCTCCCTCTTTCCTCTCGTCTCCTCTCCTCTGTCCTCCCCCCCAATCTCAGTCAAACCTTCTCTCTGAGCGCTTAGATGGAATTCTCCCTCTTTGGCTTCACTGGAGGAGACTCGAAACGAGGCGTTTCAGCTGGAACGGGATAAGATCCAGGTCTGGTCTGGTGGATCTGCCTCCTCTGGTTTGGGACCAGCACTGAAGACCAGGTTCTGGACGGTGAGTCTCTTTTGACCCTTTTGCTGAGGTCAGATGGTTCTAATGGACTGTACTTTGCTTTAGTACCAGAGTGGATGCAGAGAGGAGGTGGTGGGCTGGAGGCAAACAGGTGCAAAGTAACAAACATGAGAAATAAAACTTCACCTGCTCCAAATGCAGCTTTGCACTTTGTTTCCTCCAGATTTTCTAGAATAAATCCTAATTTAACCCAGCAGCCAATCAAGTGTTTTCAGGCACGCTGAAGCATTGCTTCGTATTTCTTGTCGGTTTAAAGTTCAGGCAGTTTAAATCGTCCCTGCTGGGTTTTGGAGCTCATGTGGTCGTAACTAAACTGCTGACAGCTGACTGGCAGGGTGTGGTATGAACACACACTGTCCCGTCACACACAGCAACTTGTTTACCACTGAATTTTTCATCCTTTCTCTGCACAAACACAAAATTCTCAGCCCAGACGGGACGGCCCATCCCCACAAATTTCCTGGTGCTGACTTGTGAATTGTGTTTAAGGCAGCACCAGGAGCAGATGGGAATCATGCAAACACAGATAGAAGCATCAAGTCGTGTAGATTTCACCATTTTTTATGACTATTTGTGTTTAAGCAGCGCCTCCAAAATGATAAGATGCATTAATTAGGCTCTCAGCCAAGGAATGAGCATAATAAACGCAATTATGAGTGGAAAGCCAACTCTCCGCTGTGCCGACCTCCTTTCCTGCTAATTGATGCTGCAGAGATTCCTGGCAGACTCTGGAATTTGTGGGCTCAACAAAATTAATTGGAGTGGTTATTATTGTTGCTCCAACGGCAAATGCACACTTTACTGGCTGCACGGTTTGCTCCAGCGCTCCAGGAGAGAGTGACCCTTCGTATCTGCTCTGTGTGCAAAAGTGTCCAACTTCACAGGAAGTCACTGAATGCTCAGGAGACGAGCTCTATGGTGATGACTTTTGCAGCTGTGGAGAGCAACATTTCTGCGCCAGAAGTCTCACCCTGGGAGATCACCGTGGCTCAGAGCAAGAAGGGAGTGGCTCCAGGGGTCACTTTGCATAAATATTTAGCTAAAACATCTGAGAGTCTATACATCAAAAGAAGGCAGTTTTATTTGGTTCTGCTGTTTGGCATTTCAGTCCTTTGGGCTGTGGCGCTCAGTAGCTGGTTGGAGACATGAACTAAAAGGAAATATTCAAATATACTTCATCACCGCGCCGAGATGATTTGTTCATCAACTTTGCCACGAGTTTTATTGATCGTCAGTTCTGGTCATTTGGAGCCAGCCCCGTCAGAGCCCACCTCTTCTAAAGTCCTCTGACTTTTCAGAGTCGTGGAAACTAAGAGGAGAAGAGTTCCAGAAGGATTTCAGATGCTCGCAGCAATGCAGAGACGTCACAGCGACGTCTCGAGGAAGTTAAAACATTTTCAGACGTTGCAGAAATGTACTGACACTTCTTGGTGTCACCAGCAGCCACTGCCGTGTGGTACACTGGCTTAAGATTCTTTAGGGTCAAGTGTGTAATTCCATGATTTATGAAAATAAAAGGGGTACTTTTGGCCCCTGAGGATGGAAACTAGACCTATGTGCCCTTTAGGATAGTTTACTACACCTCAAGATAACCGTGGGGGACTTTGAGGGTCCAAAAGGTGCTTTTGTGTTTCAGAGAAGTAAAAGATTCATCAATGTATTGATAAATGTGAATTTTGGACTTAAATGTCAATGCCGTCTGTGTTTGAGGAGATAATATAGCCAGGCTTTGACCTTCAAACAGATTTTAAGGGTGCCTGTTTTTGTATTGGAAGACTGAGGGTTTGAATCCCTTTCAGGTAAAAGACATGAGAAAGCTTGTCTGTTTGCTTTAGGGTAGCAAAAGCTGTGTTTGTACCTTCTCATAGAAAATTTAGGATGCATTACTTCTATTAGTAATCGAAGGTTGATATGTAAAAAGATCCAAACAACAAGAGGTACCCAGGAGCACCTACCTTTGGGTGCACCCCCTCAGGGGTGAGCCCTTGCACGAGCAAGGCAACGCCACTCATCGATGAGAACTGCAAACGTTTAGGAAACTTTCTTGCAAAAGCTTTTCACGATCTGTTTCCAGCACTCACGGCTCAGTGAGTTACACCTCAACAGCAGTTTCTAAAGGTCACATGTTGCATGTGAAGAGGTGGTAGATGATGTCGAACCGAGCTTTGAGGCATGTCGGAGTACTAGATTTCAGTTTCAGAGACACGTGTGTGTGTGTGCATGTGTGTGTGTGTGCGTGTGTGTGTGTGTGTGTGTGTGTGTGTGTGTGTGTGTGTGTGTGTGTGTGTGTGTGTGTGTGTGTGTGTGTGTGTGTGTGTGTGTGTGTGTGTGTATTCTGACGTAGCAGCAGAGTGGCTGCACAGCATCGACCAGGGCAGTCTGGATACGCCTCATGCTGCTTTATTGTCTCAACTGCAGCCAAACAGATCTCATTCCTGCCATTTTCCATATGTTCTCCCTGTGCACCTGAACGGTTCAGCTGTCCATCCACTCCAACACACACACACACACACACACACACACACACACACACACACACACACACACACACATTTACAGCCTTTTGTATGCTACACCCATAACTGAATGTTTTATAGCTTTCTCATCTCTGGTCATGACTTTTTTATTGCACATCAATAACCCATGAGGTCAGAGATTCAGATTCCTGTAATTCTTTTTTTTTTTTGTTTGCATGCATGAAGGTCACTTGAGCAATGTGGACAACGCAGGTGGTGCAGCAGTCAGTTTCAGTGCTTAAAACAGCCGAGTTGGGCTTATTTTTTCCCCTGCTGGTTGGAGTTAGCTCCCTTCGGAGTGGACAGTACCTGATCCATCAATAATTGAGCTGCTCGTGTTCGGTTTTGGGAACAAGAGGCTTCTGCTGCTGTTTATTTGTGCAGATTGGCCTCATTCATATTTAACAGGTCTGCATCTGCAAGGAGACACTGATGGAGGTGTGTTTTTAAACAAGTTCTGATTTTGCGGCACAACTCTGTGAACTAGTTGGGTTTGGTAAATTGCATTGATTGATTTTATCTCCATTTAAATAACAGCGTCATGAGGTCACAGTTATTACTTTAATGGAGCCCTTGAGAGAAAACGTCAAAACGTATACACTTAATGTGTTCATAACACATAAAGCTTATTTTTTTATTTGGTTCTGGCACCAATTTCAATATTATTTTTCAAGCAGTACAGTACCTGTTTGGCCCAAACGAGTCCCTGCAGAAAGTCATTTAAATACATTTTAATGCACTTATGAAGGATTTATAATAACCACAGTCAGGATTTTTTGCTGCAGGCAGCTTTATGAATTAACAATTTAATAGTCATTTCTTTAAAATGTATTCAAAAATTTTAATAAATTAAATTAATAGTCTTTTTTTCACAAAACGTTTTCATTTAATTGCCTGATTTTAAGTTTAAAAGTTCATATTTGTTATTTGAAATCACGAGATGAGGATAATTAATTCAGGAATTAGATATTAACTACAGGAGGTAGAGTGGGTTGTCCAGTAATCGGACGGTTGCAGGTTCAATCCTGGCTCTGACCAGACAGTGCTGCTGTTGTGTCTTTGGGCAAAACAACCAGCCTGACTTGTCTGCTGGTGCTGGTCGGAGGAAGCGGTGGAGCCTGTGCTTGGAAGCTTCCCCTCCAGCAGTTTGCCCCGGGGCAGCTGTAGCCACATCGTAGCTCATCCCCACCAGCGTGTGCATGTGAATGGGTGAATGATTGATTGTGTTGTGAAGCGCCTTGGGGGGCTGGAGAACCCTAAAGCCTGATTCATGCTTCCCCGTCTGCGTCAGTGCGGAGACACGCAACACCATTGTCCGTCCTTGCGGGCCTGCTGGAGAGCTCCGCAAGGACGGACGGAGTCGAGCTCTCTTTTCTAAACATCCGTCCGTCGGGACAGAGAACGCAAGCTTGTGATTGGTCAGGACGCCGCTGTCGTCTACCCCGCCGCCATTGCGCCCTCACAAACATAAAGACAGCCGAGGATAACAAGCGGCAGACGCGGAACAGCTTAAAAAACACCTCGCGGAAAAACTCTAAAAACATGAACGTTTAATTCCCTGTGACTGGAGGAGTGAAAAGATGTGCAGCAAGCGTTTTATTTATGGACGGAAATGACAGGAAACGTGGGTTTAGAGGTGGCGAGCGCATGAAGAGGTGGAGGAGGATGAGAGACAAATTTGTCTGTGTTAAAAAGTCTCTTGTATACAAAAAAACACAATATAAACACACTATCTTGGACCGATACATGACAGGATACCACAGAAAAGCGCTACGCCCTCTGTTGTCCTGGCGGGAATTGCTTTGCAACACTCCCCAGGAGACGGAGAAGTATGACGGCAAAATGTTGTGCGTGCATCTCTCCCTGCTGGAGCTGACAGAGAAGCATGAGTCAGGCTTAAGAAGGCACTATACAAACAGGTCGTTTACTGGTTTTATTTACTGAGAACGTCCTCTGCCCCTCTGACAGGCCGGCTGTGGTTTTCCTGAGAGGTGACGTGATGGGAAGCCCGGAGGGGTCAGCCAGGCCACCTCTGGTGTTAGCGATGGCGTTTTTCCTCCTGGCTCTTGTGCTCTTCTCCAGCCGGGTCTCCAGCTCACCTCAGCCTGTGCCAAGAGTCTTCCTCTCCTTTGAAGGTAAGAAAGGAAACACACGATTCATCTGTAGAGGGAATAAAGTCACAGGGATGTTTTGAGTAAAAAGCCTGATATTAAAAACCACGTTCGCGGTTCGATTTCACCACTAAACCCTCAGTCTCACATTCGCTGAAGCTTTAACAACACCCTTCAGAGGCAATCGTCGCCCTTCCTTTGTCCTGCTGCGTGTCGGGGCTCTGCAGGAAGCGGCACTGCCTGCCAGATCCACCCTGAGTCTGTTCCTAGTTAGGCTTTAATCACACCACCTCGCTCTGTGGCAGGCCTTTGTTGCTCCAACTGCTTTTAAATCTTTTCTTTTACTTATATAAAAAAATCCAAGATGAATTTTTCAAGCTCCTCTGAAATGAGAGGATGCTGGAGGAGGTTTAATCTGTGCAGTGAGTTGCGGCTGAAGTGGACCTTTGGTCACCTCTCGTTACCTCTCGCTGTGGATTAGGCGGCTCGGAGCAGCTGAGGCTGTCCGTCAGGCTACCTCGGTTAGCAGCTAAAAGCCAGTATTTCCTTTCACTCCCTGGCTAGATGGAGTGTGTGTCGTGACTTCTCCATGTATGGGCTCAGTGTTGCCTGCTGCCTTGGATTCATTCTTGCTTTCTTCTTTCCACTTTTATCCTGTCGGGTGTCTCTGGTTGTTATTTTCATCCCAGATCCAGGTTTCAGTCGAGCTCCAGTTTGTCTGCTCCGCAGCTTCTCAGAGCTGCTTCATGTCACTGCTGTCGTCCTGGAGAAGAGTCGAAACTTAAGATGAAAAAGTAACGTACAGAAAAGGCTTCATCACTACGTTTCACTGCTCAAGTCTTATTAGAAAGCGTCGGAGGCTAAAAGTGAGTCTGTTGTTCCCTGAATTAGCGCGCTAGAGCCACTCGGAATGAAAAAATAGAACAACTTTTTTGTTTTATCCATTTCCCTGTTTCTAAATGAAACACACATTGAACTGACATGTGGAGAAAAATGTAGTACGGAAGAGGGTTAGGGGCACTGAAAAGAAAAAAACATCAAAATAAAAACAATTCTAACTTTGTTCTGAGATTACCCTTAAAATCCTGAGATTAATCTCAGGATTATTTCCTCTTCAGTGGCCATAATCCCCTTCCATATTGTTGAGATGTTTAAGAAAAAGAAATCAAATTTTATCTCCAAAGAATGGTAACATGACTAGAAACTAAACCAGCGCAGGTGCAAGGGCCTACATTACCCACAATGCCTTGTGTAAACAAACAATGTCGAAATGATATTTCAGATTTGTTTGTTTGTTTGTTTGTTTGTTTGTTTTTTTGTTTGTTTCTGGCTGATGTTTGAATTTACCACAAAAAAAAACACTTTGGTTTCTCTCTGAGACAAAAACTGGCACGTTTGCATTTCACTGACTTTTTCTAAACATTTTCTGAACATTCTCATATTTTTCAACTTTTAGAATTTCTACATTTCATATTTAAATCTAAATGCATAATTCAGAAGTTTTCTTCAAAACCTGGACTTCAGTCTGGAATTACTTAAAGGTGACATTTTGATGTCATCTTCTAACTGTTTTTGCTTTTTCTTCAAACGTTTAATCAGTGGCGGATTTAGCAATTTGGAGGCCCAAGGCGAACACAGACATGGGGCCCCTCAGACAAAATTTTCCACAATCTTTAACTAGATTTGTGAAACTCTCCCCTCTTCTGACATGAGTTATGTTCACTTTTTATTAGTCCTCCTCTTTTTCCCTGTCTTTCTCTCACTTCAATATCTTCTCTGCTTTCTTCTTCCTGTCAGTGCTCCTGTGCTTTTACCTTTCTTTTTTTTCTTCTATTTTCCATTTTGGTCTGTGTTTTCCTCCCTTTAAACATTTTCCATTGTCTTTCCTTTCTGCTTCCTTTTGATGTTTACATAGAAAAACGACGTCACTTTTGGAAGTGAAGATAAAAGCTTTTTTAAAGCAAGCTGCTTCTTTCTCTTGTTGGAGCCACCAGGATAACTCCATTTCATGCTTAATGTTTTGACAACCGCTTCGAGTTTGTTACAAACGCTCCCGCCTCTCTTCTTATTATTATCTGTGGTCTTATGGCACTTGACAAACAACTATTTGGTGCATTTCTGCCACCAAATGGATTGGAGTGGAATGACTACCAATCACTCACAGAGGGGTGCCAGCAGTCAGGGCTAGGGGGCCCTCCAACATAAGGGGGCCCCAGGCGGCCGCTGACCTATGCCTAATGGTAAAACCGCCACTGCTTTTAATAAAGATGTTGATATTTAAACTTTAATCTGAAAAACTACAACATTTTTAAAATATGACCATAACTTTTTTCAACATTTTTACTTTTAACTCAACATTTCTACTTTATTCTTAATATTTAGAAGGTTTTTGCTAAACTTAGACTTCAGTTTTCACTTTGACTGTAATCTCAAGCTGGAGCACACTGTAATCTACTTTGTCCTACCTATAATGTTTTCTGCAGAGTGGCCCTGATGCATTGCCTTAGTCGTTTTTCAGTGTGTGGATCATTCTACAGGTAATTAGATTAGCTTTACTGGGTGTGTTTCTTTGTTGGGAGGACCATAAATAGACGATGATTTCATCAATGAGCTCTGCACTTAGTTCATTAATGCCTGCCGTAAAGTAAATGTGCCCATTTTGTCTTTAATTTATACGTTTATGAGAGTTTATGAGAAACAAGCAGCAGAGAACAAGTTGAGAAAACTTTTTAAGCCTTTAAACCACCAGGTGCTAGCTTAGCTTTGATTTAGCACATCGGGGAGCGATGAGGGGATACAACTTTGTTTTTAAGTCAGAAATCATTGCAAACCTTTTGGAAAGTGTTTGGCATGGTTGAGCACCAGATGTACAGTAAGGAGACTCCCAGGGACCGAGGTGGAGGTTCATTTCACATTTAAACACTGGAAAAGCTCGCCAAGTGAAGAATTCAGGGAGGCTGAGCTCAAGCTGGAGAAGCTAGGGTGGAGAATGAGGAGATATAAGACAACTGGGGCCGTGGTGGAAGAAGGTGCAGGTGGTTTGGCACCTGCTGGGTGTTAAACAAGGTTAGAGATCAGAAGCAAATTCCTTCAGTCCCACGTGTGATCTGATAATTCATTTCACCCGGATCAAACTAATCCAGGAAAACAAACCAGACTGTGGATCACAGAAGACCTAAAAAGGCCTCTGTCGCTGCTTAAACCCAATCCAGGGCAGAAGTCAGGTTCGTGGGACTCCCAGCGTAGCTCTGCGCCCCACAGAGAAGCTGCAGTCTCAGACATTCCTCTCCCTCCCGATGTCTTTTCCTGCTTAGAAGAGGCAAACACGGCCAAACCGCAATTAAAACCCTATGATAAACGGTAAAAAATGCAGCTAACCCCAAACAATAAACTCTCAAGTGGTGCCTTTCTCTGACTTGGATAATAAACACACGCCTTTACTGAAAGCAAACCTCGTTTTAGCAAACCCCAAAGTGATAAAACATAATTATCCCTTCAGTTGCTTTAAATGTCACTTGTTTCTCAGCATTTTTTACAAACGTTTCATTTTCTTACGTTTCCTCATCTTTAAGATTGTCTGCTGTGTTTGCATCTCGTTTTTATGCAGAAGTGAGTTTTTATTTATTTTTTATTTTTTTGGAGTAGATTGTTAACATGAAGCTTTTCAGAAGCAACAGCATAGCAACCCAAACATAATCAACAATTTCTGCATTTGTCAGCGGTTTTCCGATCCTTCTGCCTTGATCACGAAGAAAAGAAAACAGAGACTGGAACAAAATAGTTGAGAGTTACAAGTTTTGGGAGAAGTTTTAGCCAAGCTACACTGTAAATACTGTTTCTTTGAAATAATAATAATAATAATAATAATAATAATAATAATAATTGAGTCAACCTTTTTCCAACCCCTTTTTTTTTTATTGAGTCAACTAATGATTATTTTAAGTGGGGTAAACTCAATCATTTCAAGTATTTCTACACTACATTTTTTATGTCATTTGAAAAAAATAGAAGAGTGTTATTTTTTTATTTGATGTTATTTAGGGACAATTCTTGTCTTCTATTCTTGTGGCATGGGTATTTGGGCGGTTTGGTTAAAAAACTATAGAAACAAACTTATTTTGTAATAACCAGGGAGAAATATGTTCTGACGAGTATCCAAGGTGATGCAAATGTGGCCCAAACTATGAATCATAAATAATACAACAAAGAAATAAGCTTTTCAATCTTCATTAACTTTGTATTGTGGTGTCGTTTATCTCAGGACTGCAGAAGAAAGTAGCCAATGAGGTCGATGGACTTGTTGCAGGAACAAAAGACCAAAAAATATCAACAAAAATATCAAAAAGCTCCCAAACCTCTGAGAGTCTAGAGGAGAAACAAAGAGATGCTTTCGGCTAAATGGTAAAGGGAGACAGTGGCACAAATAAACCAGAGGTTCTGACTAAAAGACTCACTCACTGACCCCTCAGCCATACCTGCAACTCAGGAAGAAGAAATGAAAACAATTACTAATGTCATTGTTAAATTACACAGATTTCCTTTGTTTCTGTTGGATAAACATGTATCTTAATGTAGTTTTTTCTATTTATTTAGGCAAGGCAAGACAGCTTTATTTCTAGAGCACATTTCAAACACGGAGGCAATTCAATATGCTTTACAATTATCAGGACATGATATGAAAACAACATAAAAACACAAATTAAAATACACACAGATAGAATTATAGTTTAGCGCTGAAGGAGAAAAAAACGACTGTGCATGTTGCAGTGGAGATGATGCAGCTTGCATGAAGAAACAATGCATTTAAAGGCTGGTGAGTACATTAGGGGTTTTAGCTTTGTTTTAAACAACACGAGGGTTGGGGCACATCTGAGGTCATGGGGGAGCTGATTCCACATGTGAGCAGCATAGTGACTAAATTCATCTCCACCATGTTTGGTTCTGACCCGAGGTTCTACCACCTGATTGTTACTAAGGGATCTCAGAGCCCTATTGGGTGTGTATATACAGGAATGAGATGGGAC